GATGGATGGATGGATGGATGGATAATTATCTGATGAACGTGACATGCTCTTGCTCTCTGTAAATAAAGCAAAGCCACTTCCTCGTCCGACATTAAACAGAGCCCGACAGAGGAGGGAGGGGCGGGGAGGCTGTCGCCGTGCAGCGCAGCTGTCCTGCGTCTGACCTCAAAGTGTACAAGCTTCAAACTTCAGCGTTGGCTGCGGTTTTGAAGCTGAAATCGCGTTCGGTGTGAACGCAGCACGAGGCTAATAAATAAGCCAGGTGAGGCTGAGGAAAAAAATCAACGAGGCTTCACAAGACGGCTGTGTGGCATCACCCTCACACAGAGACATTTTCAGCTTTATGCATGGAGTAAGTTACGTCATGAAGGTCTTACTTAATCTAAAATAAATAAGATTCCCATCTGATCATCATCTCAGATCTAGACACCATCCTGAATGCATCTCCAGGAGCTGACAGCGCATTGAGGACAGGAGGCTTTGGAGTGCGTCTGAGGCGCAGCTGAAGCAGTGGCGCCGCGAGAGCGCACGCTGCAGGATTTCCTCTTACTAAAAAAGACAGAGCTTGTAGGACTTGTAAATAAAAGCTGGCAGTATGGTCACTCGGCAGTTGACCGGTCGACGCGCCGTCACGTGGTTGTTCGGCGTTCGTTTTCGCACCTACCTTTCATAGTTGCCGAGACACCCCGAGCCGAGCTCCTGGGAAAACCCCTCCCGCTCCAGCATACATCACTGCATGGGATTCGGTCCCCACGGAGTGCAATGCGGGAAAATAAAGGTCTGCGACTCTTCACTCGACGTTGTTTATCCACAAACTAGTCCCGGATTAAGCTCCAAAGTTTTTACCAGTCAGATTCCACCGTGAAAAATGTCTGTTTTATCCCCTTTTATGAGTTTTTGGCCATTGACTAACTTTAAATCGCTGCTTCCTGGTCAACAGCTCTGGAAGCGATCACTTTCTTCTTCTTCTTTCTTTTTTTGAAGCAAGTGGTTGAAGCACATGCAGCGTCTGAGCGCCTTCAGCACAAACAAAACTCCCACGAACTTCTGACCAATCACACCATACAGTTCGTATGTGTTCTTATGTGGAGGGGGGTGAAAAGTTCGTCCCGCGGGTTGCGACAAGAAATGCCGACAATGCGAACAGAAGTGATGCAATTTTCGTCATAAAACTGCGACAGTTCGGCACGATTTCGGCAGTTGGGCAGCAGCATGCAGGAGCCTAAAGTCTTGCTGACTTCTGATCACTTTGACTGGAGAAATGTTTTTTGATTTTAAAACTTTGACTGAAGTGGTGCTTGTTATTCCAACAGTGTCGCAGCAGAGCGCAGGTTTAAACTTCAGAACGACTGGTGCAGATGTGCGTAACGTGAGATTTTTCTTAGAGAGACTGTGCGCGTTGGGCCTGGTGTGGGTCAGATGCGCTGTTTTTCAGCACCGTGTGCATCGTGCCCATGTGGCCTGTAGTCTGAGGTGCGCTGATGAGATTTTCTCCAACAAAATCCTGCAGGCACAGCATTTGAGGCAGAACTGCAAAACCAACATGACAATAACCACATCTGTCCTGGTTAAAAAGCTCCACAGTTTCAGATTCCTCCGTACACGTCTGTTTATCTCCATTCTTGAGTTTTTCACGGTTTGACTATCTTTATAAAACTCTGCTTCCTGGTTGGCTCGGGGAGCGAGTCGTTTTTTTTCCCCCTTTTTTGAGTGGTTGAAGTAAATGCAGCGCATAGCGCTGTCAGCACAAACACGCAAGAGTTTTTCTCGGTTTGTCTATCTTTAAAACTGCTCAAAACAGTCTGCTCTAGTCAGAAATGAGTTTTTGTTTTTTTTCTTCTGCTGTGTCCGTCCGAGCGCTTTCAGTTCAGACCAATCACACATTACCGTCGACACAGGAGGGGGTCAAAAAGTTCTGCCAGGGGCTTGTGCCAAAAGGGACTGTCGACACAACGTTGCGAAGCCCAGTGACGTAATTTTCGTCATTAAACTGTGACAACCCGTGCCGACGTCGGCAGTTCGGAGCGAGTATGTTTCAGGCTTTAGTCAGAATGTCTGTATTTCAAACCAAATTTTCCGACTGTAGTCAGCCGTCACTTTATGGCAGGCAAGCAGGCATGTCTAGAGCCTCAAGCTCGGTGCACCCCACTAAGATGCCCCGTGACAAAATCTCTGTCTGCTGCTCGCGATATCCAGCTGATCGCGTCAAGTCCTTATGGCTCGTTCACACCGAGAGCGTTTTGAGCGGCAGGAGCTGCCAGTTTACATGCAAAGTCTATGGCGAACGTGCCTCAAGGGGTTGAGCGGCGCAGAAGGGGCAGCAGAGCGTTTTCCGAGCATGCGGTGCTCGCGGCAGCTGCCGCCGCTCGAGTTGAAAAATCTGAACTTTATCTGAACGTCGCCGCTCGCCACGTCTCGACAACCAATCAAATCTGCTGTGACGTGGTGGCGAGGGGACGGATGTTCAACCCTGTGTGACGTATTATTTATGAGACGCAGAAACTCAAGAACTGGCGCGCATTCGTTTGCAAGTATGGAGGAGAAACTGATCGTTGCTGTGTGTTCCCATCCCGTTCGCCATTTCATCCGCCATTTTACCACACAACAACAAACCAGACCGGAAAAAGAATCAAGACGCTCCTCCCACACCCCGACGCCGCCACAGCAGCCGCTTCTCGTTCCGGTGTGAACATACGTCCAAGCAGTGCGTCCAACTTGAGGCGTTTTGCGCGTTTTGGCAGCTTAAAACGCTCTTGGTGTGAACGAGCCATTATACTTTTAGTTTATCCTGCTGTGTTCGCTTCAAAAATGGTTTTGTTTTAATGATACATTCACACCAAACGCGGTTTAAGCTGCAGGAGTGGCCGGTTTACATGTGAAGTCTATGATGGACGCACCTCTAGGGGTCTCGCAGTGAGTCAAGTCCGTTTAGCACGGTGCGTAAGCTTTTTCTGTGCATGCAGTGAGCCCAACGCAGCCAACGCTCAAGTTCAAAAATCTGAACTTTTGC